ACTGAAAACTTTTACTTTTGTTCATGCATTTACTGAAATAAGTAAAGAGGAGCAATGAACTTTTGATTTCGCATTTTCTAATTTCAGTAATGTGACTTTAAAGAATTTTTTTAGTTTAATCTTATTGTGACTTTAAGGGGTGGTATCTAATTACCCCCTAAACTTTGAAGTCAGTTCTGCTTTGCCCCCATGTACTTTTAATTTAATCAATATTCAGTCTAAAACAGAAGAGTTGTGTCAATTTATTTCATTTTCCTTACAAAAGACAATGACCATGTGACGAGCACAAGAAATCAAGATCAAAATTACTGATATGTAAATCCACCATTAAACAAAAAAGCAATGAATAGTTTAAAAATAAACTCATCTCCCAACACCACACCTATCATGGGCCGCCATGGTCACTGCCAACACATTGTGTGCCACCATGGTCGCAAACAAAACCATGCACTTCCACCATCAATTAGTCATCTTCACAATAAAAACTCCACAGCCTACCTCTAACCTTAAGCCACCCGTCAATTAATAAGTGTCACCATAATCAAAATTTTACACCACCACTCGGATGAAAGGACTCATAAACACCATTTACAGCCATAACTCATGAAACGACTCAAATTTTAAGACCCATAAATCCACCAATTCAGTTCTCATATAACAAGCCTTGCACACCCTTGACCTATCATCCACAAAGCTTAAAGCTGTGGCATTGTGGGTCTGCCCCAAGCAGCCACTTTTCACCTTCATTCGAACCAAAAAAGCTGTCATTGAGAGGAGCCCCAAATTACTCTAAACGTTCATCAGTCTGAACTTTGTGTTGTGAGTTTGTATTAGTAAAGGATTTGATGAATTACTTTCATGGAATTTTCAATAAATAGATTGCTAACGCATGGACCAACTATATCTGTTTTTAATTGTCCCCGGGAAAGTTCTGTTGTGGAGAGCCGTGGAATTTAGATGAATTAAATAGTTAGTTCTGCATATAAGATGTTAGTCAAAGCATTATCTTTGAAATTGAGGAAAGTGATGGCTCATAAGAACTCTTATACGGTGTTGAGGAAAGTTCATATTGGTAACCCCATCTGGGTTATTGTTATGATGCATGTATGTGTCTACATATTTACACATATTTGTTTGACGACCAATTGTATGCACATGATATGGAAGAGTAGGTGGAATATGATATATAAAAACCACAATAATGAAAGTAAGCTAATTGCAATTAAATTTTCAAAAAAAATCATTAGGAATCCAACAAAAAAATAAATCATGAGGAATGAAAATTACCAAAGTTAAAGCAAATGTGCCATCTAAAGGTGCCCCGAAAGTTATCCAAATATGCCCACTGTTGCCTATGTACAATGATAAACAGACCAGTAAGCAGATATATCAGAATTTATTGCCTAATAATTTAACTACCCAAAGAAGGGCTTAATAGCCTAGCCAATAAAACTCACCCAATCATGGAAAATGAATATCCTTCATAAACACGATTGCACAGAAGAAAGAATATGTTGAAAATCCAAAATACAAAAGAGAAGTACTTTGTTCGTGCAAATATCTGCAGAAACAAAAGTCTAGTAAACATATGGCAAGAATAAAAAACAGCACAGCACAGCTATGATGATGAAAGAAACAAAATGAACTCTATGAACAGACTCAAATTTTCAGACTGTATATTATTTTCTTTGGTGATCTTAAGATGTAGGAAATAAATTTTTTTTTTTTTCGGATAAAGCATGCAAAAACACAATTTTTACTCGCATAAAACCAAATTATAAAAAGAAAAACTAACTTATACATCAACTCTTGACTGTCAAAATTACCCAGCACCTTAAATTTCGCATGCAAAAGGTTCACAACCATTATAAGAGCTTACAGTCATTCTGTACCTTTTTCTAGAAGCCCTATTCCCATAGATTTTAAAAGTAATGAATTGCAATTGTACAGAAAACAAGTAACCATTTAAAATTTGGAATGTAATGAGGAACAAATAATAAAATAGAAGTCAGAACTAAATCCCCAACGTATATTTTTCCACTGCGTTAAATTAGAACCAAGTTTGAGTAATTCAAATATTTATTTAAAAACGGAGAATAAAACAGATTGCGCCCTCACCATCGAAGTATTATATTTCAAATTTTCAGAAGTTTTAGCTCCTAGAAGCACAAAGAGTGGTATAAAATGAACAAGAATATCAACTGCTAAGTCAGCAAGACATGAAAGTTTAGACATTCTTAAAGCCTACAAATGTTGGCTAACTCTTCATATGAAATCACATTGTTTTGAAACCTGAGCAATGTTCTTTATGTGATCATAACACATACTTACACACTAAGGTTCATGCGGAACTTGTATATTTCAGATAACAACTTAACTGAAGGAAAATAATGCAATATAACTGTAAACAGAAAAAGACTAATGATAACAGTGATAAAAGAAATGCATTACATTATGTATCCACACTTGAATGAAACTCACCTTTACTAAAAGAAAATTCACCGATGCGATTGAGAGGATAAATATGATGCTTGCAGAAACAACGAAAGTCAGAGAACTGCAGCCTCCTTAGACAGAGTATAAGATCCAAGTATTATTATGAATGTAACACATACCAGGCTCCATGCAGATATGATAGGTATGTGAAAGATATCAAAATCCAAATAATGGACATCCCTCTCGCTTTTAAGTGAAAGCTTGTCCTCAATAAATTGGCGATCAACGTAAAAAGTGTGAAAACAACGGTAAGAACAGGTAAATTTCCTTGAAAGTTTCTCCATTGTGCATCAGAAACATCCTAAGCAGAAAAAAGAAAGGGGGTATATCAGACAAATAAAGATTTTATAATTCTGTGAGCATTCAGTGCATTCATATTATGCACACAGTGATACTGAAATAATGCAACACATGAACAAGAATCATATCCAGAAAAGGTCTATCTAACAATGAAATTGCCAACCTATTACAAGCCAAAGAAGGTAATGCAGGAAATAGACTAAAAGTGGTTTGCCCTGGGAGAGGATGTAGAGCAGGAAATAAAAGGTAGTGTAAGAATGTTATCAGTAGGATTTGTCCTCAATCCACTTAACATCCCACCTTGCCAACCGTTAATTAGTTCCAATCCAAGAATGCCTTTCCAAATCATGCTTTTCTATGATAATTAAGAAAGAGTCAAATTTACATATATACACCCGTACATATACAAATATATCTTCAGATACCATGCAACTGTAATGGCACCTCAGACCCTTCGGATTAAACTCATGGTTTAGCCAGATAAGAACCTAAGAGCTAAACTTTAATCCCTAAAACCCAGCTCTACAACCTAAAATAATTAATCAAGCCCTACTTGGAATCAAAACTAAAGAACTTATATATGATGAAAAAAAAAACATGACCCTCATATGTTCAGCTACCCTTGCAAAAAAATAATCAAAATACGAAGTCATTTAGTCATCTAAAATGTGAAAAATTAAAAATTAGAAAATCTCAGTTCCATAAATAAAACTGAAACGAAAATGTGGATAATTGAACAATTTCCAATTGAGCTGATGAAGAACCTAAAAACTGAACCGTTCCGGTCATTAATTTACAGGCCATAAATAAGTTACTATAGAAAGTATATATATACTTGGGAATGGAAAATAGAAGAAATGAAAGGAAATAGAATATTCATTCAATTGACACGCTATGATATCTTTCTTGACTATCTCCTACGTTATTTTTGAAAGGAAATACAATCTAGAAAAAGAAAAAAAAACGAAATTGAATGAAAAAGGAAGAAGACGAAAGGTGAGGAGAGAAGGAACATACATTGAGGCGATGAGGCAACAACCATCCAGGACGCAAACCAAAGAGTTTAAGATAATGATCTGCGTATGAGAAAATTGCATTTGCATTTCAATTAATTAACGTAAAAACAAAAATACCAAAACGAAAAAACAGAGGAAATGGTTTGGGATTGGGTACCGCGAGAGAGCTGAAGGGATCGATGAATGATGAAGGCGTAGAAAGCAGCTGCGTAGAGAATGAGAAAGCCAAGCTCTCTTCTTCTGTTGCCGCTGCTGCTATTCAACAAATTCATAGCTGATGACGAAGAGCTCTGTTTTTTCCTTCACGTCAATTTCAATTTCAAATTCATAGCTGCTCTCTTTTCAACCCACTCCATCTCACTTCTGCTCTCTCTGACTGAAAAAAGTCTGAGTCCCAAAACAAATAAAAAACCGGGTAATTACATTTTGGTCACTGAGGTCAGGGTCAAATTTAATTTTGTTCACCAAACTTTCAATTTTCCGATTTTCGTCAACAGTTAAGATGCACGTTGTGCGTGGGTGCAGGGGCAACTTTTTGCCGGATTAGGTCATGTGAATTTCGTCAGGAGAGGTTGTTTTCTTATTTGCTATTCACAGGGTATCGCCGGGCGGCTATACTTTATAAAATATTTTTTTAGAGTATAGCCGCACGGCTATATGTTTAAAATATTCTATTTTAGTATATAGCCGAACGGCTATACTGTTCAAATATTATATTTAAGGAGTACAGCCGCGCGGCTATACTAGCCAAAGGTCAGTAAATAGAATATTTTAATGGTATAGCCGTGCGGCTATACTTTGTTATTTTTATATTCTTATATCTTTAAAATTAAAAATATATAAAATGATATTCTTTAGTTTTGTATTTTGGCCAACTTCTTTAATTTAATACATGTAATTAAGTATTATTCATTAAAAAAACAGTGCGGGGTTTGTTTAGCAAATAAATGGGTTCGACTAATAGTCCCTTCCTTTCATAGGAGGAGAAAGACGCTTACTCACATACACAGAGTACTCTGAGAGAGAGAGCCTCTCCCTCGGTCGCGTAACTGTAATAACAACCCAAAACCCTAAGCTACATCATTGCTTTGCGTCAAATACCCTAACTCCATATCTGAGGATTTTTACAAATTTGATTGATTTGAATTTCTTTTGGTTTTTGTGAAATTTAATTTCTTTTAAAGAAGCGTGGTGAAGCGTGCGAGTTACAAGTCTAAAATCAAAGATCCTGGGACTCCCGGCGTTTTAACTATGGTACTCCATTACTGAATTCTTCACTTTTTCTCATCCCTTGTATTGCTTTTTTTTTTCTTTTTCAAAAAATACAAATTTAATTAGTCTTAAGTTTCATCATTGTTTTAAACATTGTATTCTACCACATTCTACCAAATGCTAGTTTGGGTAATTGTTAAAAGTGCACCCTCTCTCATTCTTGGTGATGTATGGAATCATTTTGTTTGTTTAATTTTGTTTTTGAACATACATTGGCCTGTGCAGACAGAGAACAAGTTTGTGTTCAGGCCAAACGACCCCTCGTCTGCTGCGAAGTTCGATGTGGAGTTTAAATACATTACAGGTACTCCTTTTCCTTCCTTCAAAAAAAAAAAAATCTTACTCATTTTAGCATCCCAT